TAATAGATTTTTTATAAAGAACACTGAACATTCAAAAACTTTTAGACTGGACAAATGTTGCCAAACAGTTGTGCTTGCCACTCTTGCTGAGGCATAAATCCAACTACATGATGCTATCACTCAAACAAAGCAAGGATTGAGTAGCTAGCAATCCCCAGCAGACACATACAGCGTGATAAAGCTGGCATATACTCAACCTGTGCTGACAAAACTTCATTCAACAGCAGAGGATGGTAGTGACAGAGACTGAAGAAAATATATATTTGACAACATCATAAATGCTAAAGCAAGACAGGGATTTGGAAGTGAATTGTGCACTTACCTGACTTCCCCATGGTAAGAAGACTACTCTAAGCGAAGCAGTTCCCTCACTGTCACAGTTCCTGGCAGCTTTTACAATGCTTCACTCTTCTCTCTTGTGTTTTTCCAGTTTAACCAAGTAGCATCTAGCTTTTCATCCTCTGGTAGCCACACACTGAAACATCTTACAAGCAAGATTCAGTTGAGTCCATTTTAGCATTCCCTACAAATGTATGCTCTCTTCTTTCTCTTTCCTCCTCACCACACCTTCTTCCCTTTCTTTCTCACACTTTGTACAGGGCAAAGGAGATTCTCCAGTCAGGGCTGTGATGATGACATCATCTGTATGAGCCAAGTGGCCTTATATGGTGTTGGCATTGCTGCTTTCAGCTGGAAGCATTGAGCTGAAACCACACACTTGAGTTAAACTAAATACAAACCGACAGAATGAATGTGCCCTACAAACGTATAAATTATACATAACAAAATTATACATAATTTTCTCTAATGTCTCTAATGACAATCTCTTTCTACTGAGAGTGTGCCACTGACCTCGATGCAGTTGCTCAAGGCATTTCTGTTGTTATCATTATTATCTCTATTTAAAGAAACATGAAAATAAAAAAGGGGTTTGGACATTGTGCCAAAATAATGTGAGTGTGGATGTATGAATCTTGCTTACCTACCAGATAAACACTAGAAAGCCTGCTACTGTGGTATAGTCATATTTACTGGATTAGCAACAGACCAACTAGACATCAAGTAACATCACTGATCAATGTTAATTCAGATCAGATTCAAAACAGTTTAAGTGATCCGATTCAAACAGGTAAAGAGATTTTAGTGCAATTAGACATTAGTTTTAAGTATATTAGACTAAAATATGACATAAAAAAAACAATACACATTAAAAAAAGATATTTAAATGAAAAACAATTACAGTTAAAAATCTAAGTAATAATGACAGAAATTATCAGCAAGGTTTTAGTGAAGATGTGACAAAGCAATATAACCAGCTAGCCAACATAGACCTCTGGTGGAGAGAATTAAAAGTACTTTTTATTTTGAATAGTTTGTACAAAATATCTCAGTAGCTCATGGTAAAGGTTGTAAATACAATGTGAACATACATGTCAAACAGAAAAGTTAATTATATTTTAAAAAGCTTATTAAAGCATTATCTTGGCATCTGCATGAATGCTAAAATGTGATACATTCTTCACTTAATTATGATGATCAGTGCAAAGACGCATTAATAATTAATCAAACAAGCCAAAAACAGTAGGCTGCAACTAGATAATTGTTGCATAAGTTTGCATCATCAGCCTCAGATTGTTATTGCCAAGTTTACAATAGATATGAAATTTAAAAATGTATAAATGTCTTAAAAGTTTCAAATTGATTGAAAAAATATGGCACTGAAAAAAATTTTTTTTTTAAGTAAGGTTTTGTATTTTTATTATGACATCTGAGCACCTAACCTATTTACTGAAGGCAAGTGGTAAAAACTAGCATGCATATGCAATTCCTTGTGAATGTAATATCTACATGGTCTGTGGTTTCAATCTAGCCTATTTTGGCCTTAAGATCAGCTATATGCTCAGGCTTGTGTAAACTCAGTGGAGTCTCAGGGGGTCTCAGAAGATAAGGTTTAGTCACATTGCACACACATTCACACTTTTTAACAGCCTGTCCTGGTCTACATGCAACACCCACCCTGGCTCCATGTGGAAAGCTACACACACATGATCCCACACATAATATTCATCTCTGTAATGAAGACTCAAAGCTGTTCACCTCAAATTTATGATTATATGTTTCAAAGTGGGATTGACAGCGCCACCATATGGCCCCATCAGAGTACCCACAAACACCATCACAATGTTTTAGAAGCTGAGGACAATGGTCATAAATTGCCACGTAACAAGGGTACACTACAACCATATATTGAATTTGTTTGTTGTCTCTCTACTGGAGTTCTGCTCACTGCATTAAAATGATAAGCAGCTTCCAGCCAGGATGTTCCCGCCTTCTGGTTTAAAGTAATCAACCATGAACCTATAAAACTATAAAACTGTAAACCGTTGATCAAGATTAATCATGATGACCAGTCCTTATAAGCCTAGCATATTGTACTGTCCTTCACAATCTTGTTAACTTCATTGTCAAATACTTCCATGGTGCAGAGTACAGTAATTGGGAGAAAAAACGGCACTCTTCCTGTGATATTGATTAACTATATGAATTAATATAACTATATGAATATATACATTTTATGCCCCCTTATCTTGAATTATGTGATCATTCTTAATGCATATTAATAAACTGAATCATGCACTAAAGCCTGTGTTGGTCTACTCTAACCAGACTTCATCACGTTGCGTATGCGTGCCTCTGTAGGTGTGTTTTGTTTGTTTTTTGCAATATACTCGATAATGTCATGATGTCTCACGAGTTCAGTATTTGCGCTAAACCTGCGCAGATTTGGCTTGCATGAAATTCCCCAAGAAATGAATGAGTGAACATAACTTACGAAAAGTAACCCGCCAAATTGGCTAGTGATTTGACAGCGTTACCCGCCACAGCTGATTTTTACCCGCATTTGGCGGGTTGGCGGGTGTTAATTTCAAACCCTGTGTACAAAGCCAATTAATTGCAAAAGCATGTAACAAGAAGTGCTAAGTGTAATAGTGTGTAGTGTAATAATGTATATGAAGTAGTAGGCTACATGTAGAAAGTTGTATGTTGAAGTAGAAGTATATGTAGAAAGTAGACCAGTCACTGCAAATAAGCAGAAATGATTTGCAAAATGTTATGTACAGTGCAAATTGAAAAAGGCGCATGAAGTACAGCAGCAGAAGAGTGTAAAGTAGCCGTTACCAAGTGCAACTGGAATAATGTGATAGTTTTTTGTTTTGTTTTGTTTTTACATATTGTTTTTTGAGATGTGTTCAGCAGGCTGACAGCTGAAGCTTTTCCTGAGTATGCTGATTCAGCAGTGGAGACCCCTGTAGCGCTTGCCAAATGGAAGAAGAAAGAACGGTTCATGGTGGGTGTGAGAAGCGTCTTTGACTTCTTATCCTACGCAACGTCTGTAATAAGTGTCCTTAATGGAAGGAAGTTGGTCTCCAGGGATGTGTTGGCTGGTTTTCATCACCCGGCCACTAGAGGGCTTTCTGATCACAGACAGTGCAGTTGCCATACCACACTGCGTGATGCAGTTTGCAAGATGCGTTCAAAGGTGCAATGGTAAGTTTGTCAGGATCTTAACAGACAGGTAAGCTTTCCTTAATCGTTCCTTAATTTGCATAGCTCTGACTATGGTTCTGATGCAAAAAAGGAGATCCAGTCAGACGAGTCGATGCAGATGAATTAAAATGTATTTATAATTTCTTCCACTAACCAAAGAAAGCAGAAATGATAATAAATGACATTTACTGAAACTGAAAAAAATGATCTTTTAATATCCGAAATCAATCAGACCTCTTACAATATTTCTAAGTATTTCTAAGTATATCTCTGAGTATTTCCGAGAAAAACAATTCTACATTAGTAAAATAAATCAAATAAACATTGAATGGAAAATTCATATACTCTTACACTGCAGCAAGATCAGATAAGCAGATACTGGGGCCCCTATCTCTCGCAATTTGCACAAAAGGGACACAATGATTTAGAATCCAATGCATGTAAACTGCAACTTATACAAACATTGTGGTTTTCACACCTTTAGACCCTAGAAGGAGCTAGACAATCTATATTTACTATATTTACTATGTCTCGAGAACATCTTGTCCCTTGGGTTTCAGAGAAAAGTAACAGCTCCTTTTTTAGACATAGGAGAAGATTAAATTTACTGAGACGACAGGAACCCAGATGCCTACCATGCAACTGTTAACACAAAGGGGCCCTCAGATCAAAAGGTAAACAGTGTAAGTTGAAGTAAGCATCCTTAAATGTTCAACACACACAGATTAATACTAAAATCATAGAATACACGGATAATATGTTGGATATATGAAAATATTAAAGTAATAATAAAAGAATCACAAAGATTAATTCATAATGCATAAAATTCATGAGGCATAATATTCATAAAGCATAATATTCATAAGGCATGATTTCTATATGGATATAAAAACATAATAATTGAGAATTTGCAGCTTCTATCACATCAATAGATATCGCACAAAAGGAATACATTGACATATAAATCAAAAGAAATAAAATCACAACATAAAGTAAATTCTTATTATAGAGAATAATGAAGAATAATGGTAAATCATGAATATATGTATGGTTTTATCCTTTTTTGAACAACACACACCAGGTTCTTTTTTATTAAGGTCTATTCTATTGGGTAAAACCACAGGTGAGGACATTTTCAAAAGGCCTATTTTGAACTCATTTTATATGTTAATTTCTTGAATCAAAAATTTACACACCAACATGAACTTCTCTCTTTCAGTAGCCACCATTAATGTAAAACAGGTCAGAGGCCAGAATCTTTTTTTTCCAGCATCAGTGCTTTATTAATGCAGCGTAGACAAATATATTCTCAGAACAGTAAAGGAAACGGGTAAAAAAAAAACAAATATTTCCCCCACATACCGTTCATACTTATACATAAGTGATCACAAAAACGTTCCGCTTTTAATACCTAAAAGTACCAGCTGCAGGTAATGGATTCTCTGGCATATTTACTCTAGCCTGATGGGGCCAAACTCACACTTCACAAACTCTTCGGTGTTAATTTTTGGCTGAGCTCCCTCACAGAGTCTGAGACTCTTAGTCAGAATTTCCCTGCTGAAGTGGAAGATTTCTCCATGTGGAACATGGAATGCCACTCCGATGTTATCCCACATGTACTCTTGTCTGGCTTTTTTAGGTATACCAATAGCTTTCATGTTACCAGACAGCCAGAAACGGTGTGTTTTACTCATTGCCTGTGGACGCCAGATAATGGTGTTTTCACTAAACGCACACACTGCATCCTGGGTATTCTTGAGCAGGGGATACTTAGAGAAAAGCTTATGAGCACGAGGTGCATGAATCACAATAGAATACATCACTTCCTGCTTATAGACCACAGTCTCAAAAATGCGAATGCTGGGCTTCTGGCCTGGACAGAACTGCTGTTGGTAGCTTCTCAACAACTCATTGATCGACATACTGAAACGGAAGTTCCCCATGAGTGAGGATGACAGAAAGGCTGGGGAAGTGGTGAACTTGTGCAAGAAAGGTTTTACTATGTAGCCATCCAAGTACTCGTTTTCAGCAATTGTAATATCACCTCTGGAAACGTCTTGGCTCCACCATACCAGATCGCGTTTTGGTGAGTCGCTGCATGTCGGCTTTTTAAATCCCTCAGAATCCCAAATGCCAAAGAATCCTTGGAGGTTAGTGTTATGTCGAAGGTATGACACTTGAAATTCCACCTCCTCAGGGTGTTCTGGGATTGATCTATAGAGGTAGTCATTCTCTATTTGCTTCCATTTGAGCTCTTCAAGCTTTAGGTGCTGCCCACCATAGTATAGTTCTCTATGTCTTCTGTCATTGGTACGAAACATGCTTTCAAGTTGAGAAAAGCTGATGAAATCACTTATGAAACAGGAGTGTGATGACTTGTTGCACTGAAAGAATACAAATGTTGTATATTTTGTCATGTTAGCATTAGGTAATATTTTCAACAAATATACTCAAGGCAACTCTTTTAAGTCAACCATGAAAAAAAACGTTTTTTTTTTTTTACAACATCTGAATTATGACAATCAAGCACGTTCTCCAGAAATATTTTGCGGCCTCATTTTATGTCTATAAAGTAGCCTTTATTTTTTATCACCTCTAGAAATGGCCGAGATTGGTGTGTCTTCATTTACATGCTGTCAAAACTGCAGTCCGGTGTTGTGTAATATTCGGTTCTTGTGAAAAACTGTTCCAGCGGGTGGAGTTTACGTGAATAGTCATTAGTTCCCATGTTGTGGGCGTGTCCTTGAAACAACGCGCAAACGAATGGAACTGAAAATATTAGTGCACGCTCCTCAAATCGCTACTTGTTTAATGGATTATTTTGAACAGGTAATGAAGTGTCAATGTTAAGCACTGAAGCATTAATTGCAACAGAGTCAAAACAATGCAGTTTGTGTAATATGATAAATCGTCTGTAAGCTGTTTTTGCTTGATTGATTACAGGCACACAGCAAAACAATAAGCGAATAACCTATGCTAACCTTGGGTAATATAGTTTCTTATTTTTTGATGTGTTTAGCTTTTTATACATTTAATTTGTGGGGCATTAATTGTTGTTTGAATAGTTTGATTAGCCTATACTTAGGCTACTGGTGATAGAAAGAGAGAGTTGCGTCAACGGAAGTCCAAAACGCTCGATCGAACCGACATGCACTGCTTCAAGTCAGCCGCCGATCGGTTTGCGCGGCGCCGCATGAAGTCGAACGCACCTATTGAGTTGGAGAGACATAACTGTGATTTTTGGTAATTAGTAGACAATAAAATAATTTATTTACATTATTTATAAAAAAATGTATACGTAGTATATATATATGTAGTTATTACATTGTTATTGTTAGTTTTTAAAAGATAAAATCCTCATATTTGAGGATTAATGTGGTCAGCTATCCGTACCTGCCTTGTTAACATATTTTACCATGGTAAAAGTCTGTGTTCGCTATATTGTGTGTGTGTGTGTTCTTACAACTTGCTTGTTAGTCAAGTTCAATCACAAATATACCTGTTCATTGTCGTTTTACTAATCTCATGGTAAATGTTAAGTTTGTTGTCTTAGAAAATTCGTTCCAAATAAATGAAGATATTTTATTAAGTGAAAACTAATCTTGTTTAATGTTTTTGATTCTTGTGGACCCCTCAGTTATTAATATATAAATATATATTTGTAGTATATGCCAATTTAAAACAACTTAAAACATTTTTACACATTTAATCATATATTTTATGTATGTTGACTTTTGTTATGCACTTATTTACAGCAATCGATTTATACATTTATAATAAACTATAAAGCATGTTGTCCTTGAACAGTCTCCACTATAGTTTGCTGTGCTGCATGGGAGTGCTCCAGTCACTCAGAGAAAGGTGTGTGAATGTATGGTTTCCCTACTGATCTGGAGAGGAGAAAAAAAATGATGCATCAAGTTTTGTTCAATTCACATTTATTTGTATTGCACTTTTTAATATACACATTGTTTCAAAGCAGCTTTACAGAAAATGAATGTTTCTACATTACAAATAAGAGTTCTGTTAAAAGGTGTTGCTTCTCTCTACGGCTCTGGTCGGTGCTCGTGCTGGGGCTGGTGTTGTTTGGATGCCGATTTTGGAAAGTTTTTGCTGGGATGGGCATTTTAAAAAATCTGAAATTCGCTTTTGCGCCATTATCTCCTTGTATTAAAGTTAATCTTGTTCGCATTCTGTATAGTTCATGTCTGATACCACGCGCTAGCGTCACGTGTTCATGAGGATTAAGCTAATCATCCCATATAGAAAACATCACAAGTAAAATTAATCATGTTTATAAAGATAAACATGGGTTTATTATAGCCCACTTACAATTTACATTTCAGAGATCATTACAAATAAATTATTAAATGCTAAAACTGAATAAATTTAAATGAACAAACTTGGCGTTGTTATAAATATAATTTTTTTGACACAAAAGATGACATACATTTAATAAAGTTAGAAGAGTCAAATATCGCCTCATAATGGGAAGGTTAACTTCTGTCATTGATCAGAAGAAGGTGTTTCTAAAAAAAATTTTTAGGTAGGAGCACAAGAGCTCCTAAAAATAAATGTTAGTGTAGAATCCTGAAGAATGTAATTTTACCTTTTAAAAACTAATAGCAAATGTTTATACAAAGAGTAAACTATTATATATAATCTACAAATCATGCAATACTGTACCACAAAATAAGAAGTGTTTTGCGGACTCGGCTAATCAGGCCAATTAGAGACAATTACTAATCATTCTCATTTTTATCAAATCATTCTTTCATTTCACTAATCAATATTTTCTTTTTAATTATTTAACACTAGGGGTCATTAATAAAGTTTACATTTTAACGTGCAAATTCACACGCAATGCATCTTTAATTTGGCCAGAATTGCAGGGCGCCCGTCTTGATATCCAAGAAGGTTTAGAGAAAATATTAAATAAGTTTAATTATTAAATTAAGAATTAAACTTAATTAATATATAAAAATTAACTTAAACTTAATTATTATATCAAAATTAACTTAAACTTAATTATTATATACAATTTTCCAAGCTAGTGTCCCCTCAGTGAATTTCGGCCATTTCCACCACTGCCTGTTTGTCTTCTTTAAACAAGATTAAATGTAGTTGAGAATTATGAGGGTCTTGACCCTTCAAACAAAACAGACACAAAAACCAATACTGGTTGTAAACAAGCAAAGAAATTACTAGTGACTTACTATTAGTGACCTTTTGGCACGCTATCAAACATGATAGTTTGATAGTGTAAGCAACAGAAACTCAACAGACACACATATCCCTTCAGAGGCACACAGACTTTCATATGATTTTAAAGACAGCACAAGAAGAGATGAGGCTCCATAGCTCAGTGGTTAGAGCACTGGTCTTGTAAACTAGGGGTCCTGAGTTTGAGCTTCACTGGGGCCTGATTAATAACTAAAGGATGTTTTGAACCACTATCAAAAGTGTTTACAGACATAAATGATTATCAACAGAAGATAATCGGTCAAATAGATCTGATAATTGTTCAACACTACAAAAAACACCAAGGTCTTCAGACTATATGCAGAACTTCACACTCTGTGTGAGTGCAAGCAAGTGTTGCAACTTTCAGACCTGCTATTTCAAGCACTTTACAGAATATGCAGTATATATATACAGTACACACACACACACACACATATATATATATATATTCATAATTTGGAAATGTGAAATTCACCATAATAGAACAAAACTGTTTTGGATCAATTTTGTTTCATTACTCTGATTTACATCTGCGTCTGTGTGTAGTTTTCTCTTATTAGGAAACATGTAGGTGAAATCTAATATAAGGTAAAGGCACATTATTACTTAAAACGTTCACTTCTTATCCATTTAGTTGAAAAAAGTTTATCAAAAACCATAAGCATATAGGGAAAAAATTAAAACACTGATATGGAAAAAGCCACATCTGTTGTAATTTTTTTTCTATTATAATCTATATAGCACAATTACAATGAAGTTATGCAGATAGAAGGATGTCATTTGCAACCGATGAATCACCTGTTTGTCATTCCTCCTAAACTTTAAACAGTCACAGCTACAAGGAAATGTTGGACACACCCTTTGAAGTGCTACACAGGGTTTTTCATATGCACTTTTCATATGGTAATGAGGACAATGTGTGAACAGGTGAGGCTCCATAGCTCACTGGTCTTGTAAACCAGGGGTCGTGAGTTCGATCCTCGCTAGGGCCTGGAAAACACTTAGAAGACACTTTTGAGTAGTTATCAAAAAGAGTTTACAGATATACATGACTAGTGGTACAATAGAAGAGAACTAAGCAGGTCTGATATGAAGTGTTCAACTGTGAGTAAACAAAAAACTGAAAGCTAAGAAACATCACAAATGTTCAACCATCCTGAAAGAGGTCAAATGTAGCAAAACAGATGCAAGATTGGTTGCAACCAAGCAAATAAATTACTAATTATTTTCCAAACTGGTCAAACTTTGTAAAAGATGTAAAACCAAATATTAAGCAGCACAACTCTTTTCAACGTTGATAATAATAGGAAATGTTTCTTGAGCACCAGCATATTAGAATGAATAATTTTTTTGACCCTGTAATCGTTAATCAAAATGTCATAACTTGCTCCTCTTGTGATATGACTGACTTGATGTCTGTGATGTATGAAGCATAGGTGCTCACATGACTAGTGCTCACTTCTGGTATGCCAGACACACCCCTTACAGATGCACAAAGTTTGTCAGTACCTTTCATATGATAATACGGACAGTACAAAAGCAGGTGAGGCTCCATAGCTCAGTGGTTAGAGCACTGGTCTTGTAAACCAGGGGTCGTGAGTTCAATCCTCGCTGGGGCCTATAAATAACTTTTGAACAAGTATCAAAAAGAATTGGTAGCCACACATTACTTCTAGGAGAACCATGTATACAGAACTGACCAGAGGAACACTTACGAGTGTGATAGAAATTTAACATTTGTATAATATGTAATTGATATTCAATATTCTCTCATATTATTTATCTCTGATTTTCTATATGTTCTGTGTATATGTGACAGCCTGCAGGTACTGAACCTTAACGGCATACGCTGCCAAAGATTCTCTATCAGCTTTCCATTTGTCTATCAGTGTCCCTAGACTAATGGGTACAAGCAGGATTGGCTAGAAGCTGATCTCAAAGAGATACTGTTCAATGTCAAACTTTGTTAGTATAAAGGAGGGGTGTGAGGACCTCTCTGTGTCTCTTTGCAGACAGAGCATTCTCTTGTTTTTAAACTGATAATTTCTGTAGAAATTAAAGAAAAGACAAAGACAGATATCTTTGACTGGTCTATCATTCTCAGTTTCACATTTATTAATTGATTTAGAATTTTTCCATGGCACGAGCCATCATGTTTCTGACTTGTGTGCTCTGAAGAACTTCTAAAAACTATTATGCCTATATGTAGAATCAAATTTACTCAGGAAGGCCACTGTAAAAACCAATAACTGATTTAACTGATTAAAAATGTTCAATATCAAAACATTTATACATCAAATCCTGAACTGTCTTGGCATAGAAAGTACAAAAATCCTGCACAAATCATATATTTTTAAAAATATATTTTTATACAAAAACAATACAAAAGTCTGCAGAAGAAATCTGAAGGCTGCCATGGCATAAAAAAGAAACAGCATTAAGACAACAGAGAGCAGACAGAATAAGCAGAGGAACTAGATGAGAAATCGTTTGTCAACCAGAGTTTTGCTGGCTAGGTTCCTACGACCCATTCCATTTCGGATTAACCTGAAGACCTGAAGGAGAGCACATTAAAACTTCATCTTAATCGTCACCTCTAGACTGTTGAATTAAACCAGTCCATTAACAAATTCACGTATACTAACCAGTTGCTGGAGGTATGTTAACACAGCTGCGAGAATGAAGTTCTGACTGCCCAGATCCACCACACAGAAAAAGAGGGTGTCAAAGATCAACAGCACAGCCTCATTACCATAAAAGAGGACGTCAGCGAATGAGTGAGAATCATCTGAGAGAAGAGAAACACAAAAATCAGTATCACTCAAAACACTAATGAGTTGGAATTATATTTGGATATGATTAGCAGTTTTTTTTTTTTTTACCATTATAGAAGATGCTTTTATCCAGTGGCTCTATAAACTCCATACCGATGATTCTCTCAAATAGCAGCTTATCTTTCACTATGTAATCCATCTCACGATGTGCCTGAGAAAACAGCATTCAGAGTGAGCAAAACAACACCAACAAAACATAATAAACTATGGGGAAAATCACAAGCATCAATGAAATGCAATCCTCACATGATCAATGACAGAGCCCAGGAACCGGTTCATAGTATGGTAAGCTTTTGTGCTCTGCTCACATGGATTGGCTGAAGCATCCACCAACCTTGAGGGACCACTTCTCTGAAGGGGTAGAGACATTGTTAGCCACCTTTACAGAGAGTGATTTGTTTGGGAGATTATTTAGCTACACTTTGCGTACAAAAGTAGCTGTGTCTCATTTCGAAGGCTGTGCCCTCCGGAGGTCGCATTCGAAGGCTGCATACATCATCGAGGCTGTCCCATTTCAAAATAGCAAGTAGGACACTCCGAATGCGACCTTCTTTCACAGGAATTTGGAGGATGCATGAGGTGTATCCTTCGTTGCTACAGATAACCCACAATTCTTTGCGTCACCGTAAACATCCGTCGTTTCTTTGAAAACAACGCTGGCAGATGTAACTAAAGACTATAGAACACCCTTAAAGGGACTTTGATGCAACGTTACACACAAGTGAAGATGTAAATGTAAAAATGTAAGTATAAGTAAGTTTTTCTTTTTTAAGTAGTATTACCTCAGTTGGTAGACGTGGTAAACAGGATTACAAGTGTTTAGTGATTTTTAAATGTTGAGAACAGTACTTAACTAGCAAGGCGAGAAATTGTTAATTTGTTTAACCCTCAGGTATTGTACATTTAGGGGTCGCTTTCATATTGTTCACTGTAGAAACTGAACGGAGACAATAATCTTATAATAATTTTAAAATAAAGTGATTTCTACATTTAGTTTCATGAAATTAATGTTCAATATTTTAATCTTCATTTAACTAGCGTGAGAGCGCAACGATGCTATATATGTGTTGGCATAGCAGCGTGATACTTCCGGTTTCCTTTTCTGCCCGTCCTACGAAGGCCGTCTCATTTAATTCTGGGTTGAGGACACTCCGTATACGCATCCTACAGAGGATGTGACCTCCAGAGGATGCAGCCTTCGAAATGAGACACAGCTATAGTCTTCAGAAGTGAGCTAAATCTGACAAAACCAGGGATCACTGGATGTCTTCAAAGATAAAAATGATTAATAAATAAAGTAAATTGTGATTTTCTAAAAAGTTACACGTTTTCTTGTAAGTAATAATACATTTTTTTATATGAAATAATCTTTATCATTATTGACTTTGTTAAAAAACAATAAAGGCATATGCCTTTACGTAGATAAATAAATAGAAGTGTTTATGTTTGTGTTTATACCCAGTTGATTGGCTCGATTATCCGGTCATACTGTGCTCGCAGACGGTTGGTTATTGAAATCTGAAATGTCTGAGTGTCTGAGTTTGGCAAAAGTCCCCTTTGGCCACACAGATTCTCCTAAAACACATAAAAATAAAATAAGTCTTCCATATAAACTTCTATTATTAAATGTACGACTCAAAATGTATCCTACCGCCTCCCTCTTCAGGTTTGTATTCATCTCATCCATGTTAGTGTCTGCATGACCATGAACAGAACGTCCATGAATGTAGTAGCCAAAACATCGATGAGACAGCAGCAGCACTGAGATCTAACAGACACATACACATACATTCAAAGGAAGAAAAGAAAAGACAAAAATCAAGCAAAATTAAAGCATTACATATGTTAATGTCTAAAATTGTACACTTATTGGCTATGAATTGCTCAACTGCAAAGAAGCTTTCTAGCCTAATACTTACATTGCTGATTGAACACAGATCCACAAACTGGCGAATCTTGTCTTCAACAAAGCGTTCATGGATTACTTTGAAGAATGTAATCTAAAGCAAAACCACACAAAAAGGAAAAAGTGAAACACCACAAGTGACACAAAGAGACAGGTTGCTTGTCTTTAAGTATACATGTTCTCACCTGCATTAAGCCAATGCAGAGCCACATTGCAGAAGCCACGCCGTAGCGGAGTATGAGGCTGTATGGAGGTGTGTATGCCTCAGGAGACGGATGCAGGTCGGATGAGGGGTCTCTTAGAGCCAAATTTGAGAAGCCCACCACCTGCAAGCACAACATTCAACATTTGTTAAGATAGTCCTTAACAAAATAGCAAGCTCTTTGAAAGGCCAGTTTGGGAAATAGGTTTTGAGACAAACTAGATGTTTTAGAATAGAGCTGTAGTGTGTTGTTGCCCTCACCTCCAGAAAGAAGAGCACAGCGATGACCTGAAAAGTGGGGTTGATCTTGCGAATGGTCTGAATCTCATTCCACTCATTGGCCACAAAATATGTTCTCCAGATACTGACAGGAGATGCTTGACTTTTTGCTTCACCAGACCCTGAGCACATTACAACATAATTATAGAATATGTATTATTAAAAATATATCAAACTAATCGGATTAAAAGTGTAGAGTTTGTATAGATATAATGGAACATGCATTTGAGAAGCGCATTTGAGAAACATTGTAATTACCCTCCACATGTTTACTGGCTTTACTACGAGGTCTTTCCCAGTCTATGAAGAAAATATCCACAGACAGCTGAACAAAGAGCTTATGAAGAAATTGTACAGTCTGTAACAAAAAATAAAATTAAGTTAACCTGGGACGAAATGGAAAGAGGGGAAAAGACAGACATATACTTAATTAAGCAACCTGTAGTGTATAAGCTAATGTTCATATTTGTACACACCTTCAAAGCAAAGGCACAGCCAACATAAACAACAAAGCGCTCCTCCTGAGCTGGTAATGGCAGCAACACGGACACAAATAGCTGGGCCTGGAGATACACAAAAAGCCTTGTTTTTATAGGTCTTGATTTCTATTTTAAGTCGTGTTCACACTGGCGAACCAATAAGATTCATGCTTTTGTTCACATGACCAGAGCCAATGCTATTAAAACTATGACTTAGTAGCGCACACAGAGTATTTAGCAAAGCGAAAATTGTGAATATAATAATCTGAATGGCTGTTTGATAACACGTAAATACTGTTTGATTTCCTTTCTTATCTGTGACAAGTGGGTATCAGAAACGCAAAGTTGCACAGTACTTGTCTTGATGTGAACAGGCATTTAGACCTAAAGAGCTCCATCAAAAAATAAAGAGTAGGCTACGTATAGACTGCACATCCTAGCAAAGAATTTCATTTAACAGGACAGTGGAAGACAATCCCAGAAACACAGATAATAAACTGATATCTGAGAAGTGGGTGAGACTACGTTAACAATAGAAAAAGTTAAAGACTTGCCTCCACTGTCTGGAAAATATTGAAAGGAATTGAAGAGCAAAAGAAAGAAAAAAGGAGGAAAAAAGACTCATGTAAGACTTAATCATATTCATAATAGACTAGCCATTGCCACTTACAGACATGACGAATGCAAACCTTAAAGAATATGAGCCAGTAGAGGCCTGTTCCAACAGTGATGATGAAGAAAACATTTGCCAGGTCACCAGCATAGAACACCAGAAACTTCATAATGGTCTGAAACAGAAAGGACATTATTATGCATCGGTGTTGTTAACTGTGTTTATAATCATCTCTGAATGTGAGTCTTTACCTGCAGGTCAATGAGAGGAGATGCGATTCTTCTTTTCCAGCTTGCTGTTTTCAATAAAGAGTGGACAACAGCCACCCCACCCAGCACACCAAGAGCAATCTGGATATGAATCCACAATAGAATAAGCTGACAAACATAAAACAGAAAACTGACTTGCGTTGTTTATACTCACATCAGTTTTGACCCGAGCTTCTTCCTGGTCCATCGTATACTCAAGAGAGAATGTCACCTGTACATATGTACATAAAACAGAAATCAACCCATTTGGCTGATCATATAAGCACTTTAAAATGTGTAAAATATTTATCATTTATTATTTTTACACTGTATCATTAATCTTACTGGCAACAGAATAAAAGAACTTTTGATTAATTTCATTAACATATAAAAACATGCTGAAGACTTACTGTAACAGTCTGTGTGGTGGGGTCAGTGACAAGTATATCTGAGTAAGTCACAGTCATCAGAGGGGGGTACACCTGTCCCTTCTGTGTATTCGTCACCAGCTGAAACCTGTTCAGTGCAGGACATCAAGCTTAGTGTGACCTCACACTATGTGAGTTTTATGTGTTTGTGAGTGTGTAGTACTTACCCGATCTTAATGTTAGAGGCCACACGTATGACCTTGGGTGAAGAACTCAAAGACTTTTCCCTTCCACTCAATGTGTCCACAAGCATCAGCCTCCGGGTCAGGTACCAGTTATTCATGCTAGATCCTGACACGAGAAATCAGCATGGTGATAAAGCAGCAAGGCCTTCATCACATATAATGATGATATGAAAGTGTATGATCAAAAGATGTGTTTGTATGTTGTACCCTGATTAGTGAACTGGCCATTAAACTGCTGGTTGATATTTAGGAGAGGCACTGCAAGAAGACGCTTGTCCTCCTGTGGCTTCTGAATGACCAGGAACACGTCATAGAACACAGGCTCCGGATACCCATTCAGAAGCTCTGACACAGACAGCACACACTAAGAAAAGAAAAAAAAAAACATTAACATACATCAACATATTCAGCTGAAACTAAAAACATGTATATTGACCAAACTGAGAAACATATTGCTAAATATGGACCACATATGAACAACAACAGAAGAAAGGTGAGACTTACACTCTGCTTGTAGGCTGTCCCAAACATGAAAGCGGATTGTTGTCTGGTAGGGGTGTCTGGACAGAGCTATAGAGGATTTAATTAAGCATATTTGTCTCTCTCACAATACTTTTCAATTTCAATTTCAAAAGAAGTTAATAGAATTTCTAAAGACACATTCTAAGAAATTAGCAAAAATGTTACCAAGTGTAATAAAAAAAAAAGAAAAAAGAAATCTTCAGAAATTCTTAAATATTTTCTTAGGAACGTCACTGTATGATGGGTTATGCCAAAGACTTGCAAATAAACTCGATGAAAAACACCTCAAACACATTTGTAATGTGCTGTGTATTTTAAATAGTTTTAAAAAACACAAAATATTCTGTGAGATTCTTTACCCCCTTGTGACCATCTGTGTCCTGTTGCATGCATCAGCATTATCATTACATCACTCAGTACCAGACAATCACAAGACATGATTTATATTGCTGTTTTTTCCTAGACGGTCTCAGTCTATTCCCTGCTTGTGCGGAGCTAACAGTTTCACTTCCTCTGTAACTTATATATAACGAAGCCCCTCACAATAAAGATTTGAACCTTGAGTGAACTACACTTCTTGTGTCTGTGTCATTCTTGGCTCCCTGATATCAGCTTCTGTGCTCCACCGCTCAACTTGATCAGATCTGCTCAGATAATTTAATGGATAATTTAACAGTTGGGGGCTCATCCACGAAGGGGGGGACTCTCCCTGTGAACCAGGGGAAAAGCTTAGAGAGCAAAGAGGCAAGCCACGCCGGAGATCGGGGGGGACCTACAATAAAAGGGGTAAATGTTTTTGGATATTTCTGAAATGAAATACAGTGCTTACCCCTGTAGGATCCTGTTAGTATCTCGTAAAGAGACGAGATCGGTTTAATCACTAGCTGTTAGTGGGGCTTTGGCTCCATTGTTGTTAAACTTCGGCTGGCAACAGTAGTTGGATAGACTATTATCATGGAGAGTGATTGGTTAATCACTAGTCGTTAGTGGGATTTCGGTTCCATTGTTGTTACACTTCGGCTGGCAACAGTAATTATTTGTTCATTATTAACGCGGAAAGTGATTGGATATACAGTACTGATCACACTGTATTTTTGATCACAGTAGTGTGCATTACTTCGCGGAAATCTTATTACGGTTAAAGGCTTAATTCTATTTATGAAATTAATTCCGATTGTTACTGCATGTTGATACATTGTGACCATAAAAGAAGGTGTTCTAATCTAGAGGATGACCCGAACACGGTTTGGCGAGAGTCCAAAATTAGACAACACCCAATAAAAGAAGGTGATTTTAGAGGCGATCAGGACAAAATGTCTTGTGAAAGCCAAATATAGGACCATCACCCACGGTCACAATACCATACATGCACTACAATTGAGGATGGGCGTTCGAGTACAGAAGAATTTTGTGCACATTAATTATATTTTTTTAAAAAAGTGGAAAATGGGGGATTCGGGGCCCAGATAGGAAACAAGTTGCTGCTTATGTAGCTAAACAAAATTGCCCCACAAAAGGAAAACCGCCACTATACTACATGTCTGAACCCTCTGCACCGCCCTCGGTGAAACCGCCATCTGTAAAGTTTAAAAATACACATACTAGTCCATACGCTGAGGCATACGGTCAGTTATCTGGCAACACAACTGAACCGTTAAATTTGACTCAAAATGCAATGGTATGGGTAAGAGCTGGAAATAACATCAATGTTAGACCATTAAAAATGTTGGACATGGAATCAATATGCAAAAGTTTACCTTCCTCTCAACATTCTGGTAAATTTGTAACTATTCTGCAAACACATACAAAATATGCTCACTTTTCTGGTGCAGATTACAGGGCAGTTCTGTTAAGAATATCGGAGGGGGATGTAACCAAAGCAATGTTAACCACTGAGTGTCCGACGCGGAGTCATGATAATGATAAAATAAGACACTTTCTTCCAAGAACTAAGAACCTTTTTAGATAAACGTCTAGGTATTAGACAAGATCTATCATTCGCTGCGAATACAAAACAGAAACTTAAAGAATCTGCTTCAGACTTCTATGTGCGCTTCAAAAAGGCATGGATTGAAGAGTCCAAACTCCCATTGAATAATGAAATGAAGGCTTTGTTTATAAATACCTTCTTGAATAACATGCAAGCTAAACAAGCACAATTGATCAGAATTACAACCACAAATTTGTATGATATGGACATAGACGCAATAGGGAAGCGAGTTAGGGAACTAGATTCATCTGATGGTTTCATAGTGAAGACTGAGAATGCTATGTTTACAGGGCAGAGACATCAGCGAAATTTGCATGAGCAAGAAGCAGAAGTGAAACCATATTTGGACCAACAAGGAAGATCAGAAATAGTGTGCTATCACTGCGGAAAAACGTCTCAGGTTACCCGAGACGTCAGCAAACCATGGTTCCCTGAGTAGGGAACGAGACACTGTGTCCTCTAGGGGTCGCTATGGGGGACGCCTCGACGTGACCCGTGTCTGAAGCATTCATTCAAAAAACACCAACAACATGTTGGCCGGCGACAGCCTACGACATCACTACCGGTGCGACTATAGTTTAAATAGGCGCCGGGAGAACACGTCATCCGCTTCTTCGTCTGAAGCTTAAAAAAAAAACCTTTTACAACTTAATGCTGCCTTGAAATTTAAGCTTAGTCAAATTGAAATATGAAGTTGGTGAAAACGTCTTAGGTTACTTATGTAACCATGGTTCCCTGAGTAGGGAACGAGACACTGCGTCCTGTAGGGGTCGCTATGGGGAACGCCTCGTCGTGACCCGTGTCTGAAGCATACATTGAAAAAACACCAACAACACGTTGGCCGGCGACAGCCATGACGTCACTACCGGTGCGACTATAGTATAAATAGGCGCCGGGAGCACACATCATTCACTTCTTTGTCTGAAGCTTGCGTCCGCAGCATGGCAAGAAACCTAGAGGACGCAGTGTCTCGTTCCCTACTCAGGGAACCATGGTTACATACGTAACCTGAGACGTTCCCTTTCAAGGGAACTTCGAACTGCGTCCTCTAGGGGTCACTATGGGGAACGGTATACCCACGCCACCATGCTGAGGGGAGTGCATGCCAAACTACAGAAGAGCACTAAGTTCCAACTCTAACAAAGCTTTAAGGGAGTTGCCCCTGGGACGTTAGACAGCTGTCAGTGACATTATCCCCTACGGCCAAAGGCCTAAGCTACATACCCCAAAAATCTTACCTGTTAGGGCCTTTTAACTCCTGGGCCCGGGGTAGAGCTCAAGGCTTGGAATCAGGAATAGATTATACGGGGATACGACCAAGTGCCTAGAATCGTACTAGGTCTTGAGGCAGAGGAAGGGCCTAGTTCGCCTGATGTTGCCAGTTCCAGGTGCTCTGGGAAAACAGAGAACGCAACTCTCCACGTGAGAGGAGAACTCAGAATTCAGAAAAGGACTAGCGTGCTCATAGGCAACCCTCTGATAGAGGGGAGCACTGCTAAACACCACCACGAGAACAGCCCACGGAGCAGGGAATTCAACTCCTCAGAAGGGGAGAAAACTCGAACGCTCGTAAGAAAGCACCATGCTCATAAATAACCCTCTACAGTGAGGGGAGCGATGCTTTAAAAGTGTATCAACAGAGACACACTAGTTGAGTGGAGCCCAAGGCGAGTACCGGGGCCTAAGCCAACTTGGAGAAAGGGAACGAGGCTAACAACGCGTAACCCTTACCATACAGGATTTTAGAAAGTGCACAGGGACTTCGCGTGCGCACTTACCATATCATGGATTTTAAAGATATCGTTCTAAGGGGCCCTCGTGGCACTCTGAAGGAGCCAACCATA